TGTTGACAAAGGTCCTTTACTTGTCATCCCCCGTGGAGCATAGACTGTCAGTCAGCTCAGGCCAGCTGGTCCTATCCAAGACTATTGATTGTGACTCACCCCATGTCCTCCCCAAATTTCTTTTGCTTCACTTTCTAGCAAACTTCCCAATTTGTTTGTTGGCCTGCCTTTATTTCTATGGCCCGGTTGGTTCTAGTTGAAAGAGATTCTAGTTATACTGCTGTCGCGTTATCTCAGCGTGGGTCCTATCCGACGTTAGTTCTTCTTCACCTCTTAGTCCACTGGAGCTTGTTTAGTTCTCTTCCAAATGCCAACATTAGTAATATCTAACTATTTAATTCTCTATATACTAAGCTAGAGCTGCTTTTGGAAAGGATGATGCAAATCTGGAAATCCAACAGTTACTGCAGAGGAACAAAACTCAGACTCTACAAGAGCATCATTTTGCCAGTTCTTCTTTATAGAATAGAATGCTGGAGAATGACCAGATAATATAAACACAAGCTATTATCCACCTTCCACCACACATGTCTACGTAGAATTATCAAAATTTTCTGTCCAGATACAATCTCAAACACTAAACTACTTCAGGTCACAAATCAAGAAACTCTAGACTGTATAATAACCAAGAGAAGATAGAAATGGCTTGGCCACGTTATGAGAATGAATCCTGATTTACCTGCCAAAACAGCTCTCACGTGGATACCAGAGGGAAAGAGAAAAAAGAGGCGCCCAAAAACAATATGGAGAGGGACGATGGAAAGTGACCTGAGTGCTGCATCTCTGACTTGGAAAACTGCACTGTAGATTGCACAGGACAGAAAAGCGTTGAAAGCCCTCTCTGTAGCCTTATCTGCCACTAGACATAAAGAGAATTGATGATGATGATGATTGATGATACGACGCAGGCACCAGTTAATGAATGTTTGTAGTTGATTAGTACGTGTGAGTGGTTTAGTTGTCTTACATGACTGCCCTCCATACATCAGTAATGCTGTAACTTTCAACTTAACAGTTTTATGTCTAGTGTTAGTTTAACCGTACACATACTCACAATCACATCTATACACACACGCGCGGATGTGAGTGGCGAAGGAGGGGTGTTAGAAAAAGATCTATACATAACTGGGTTAGGAGGAAGGGGAAAAGTGGGAGCTGGATTAGACTTCCTTTTACAATTTTGTGATGAGGGGGGAAGGGGGAGAAAAAAAAGAAAAAAAAGGGAGGAGGTGGGGAAATGTGTGTAGACCTCTTGAATCCATCGCTCATCACTTGTAACTCAGGCCTATTTCTAGTAATTTTACTTCCTGTTTGTCGAAACACTCACACTGAAATAAGAAATAAAGAAACTGACAGCGGGCAAGACAGATGTAGAAAACTCACTGGCTAAGTCTAATATGTTGCTGGATGTAAACAAACACGGTTGGGGTTTATCAGAGTAGATTTCACGAATGATGAAACGATGAGCTCTTCAGTTTTGAATAGTAACTAAAGCCTTGAAGGATCTGCTTGTTTCCTTTTTCCTGTTGCAGTCTCTATACAGTGGAGCTATATGGATTATCAAACGTTTGGCAGTTTTTCTCTAAGGTAAGTTTCTCTTATTTTATTTTTAAATCACCTGTTAACATCATATACATCCAAATTCAGTTTATATCCAACAGAAATCCAGTGTTTTACAATATCATCCATACTTTATCAATATCATATTCACGATGAAGTTCAACAAGGCTGCGTCGAGATCTAGACGAAAAAATAGGGCCCGGCATTTCAATGCAACCCTCTCATATCAAGAGGAAAATAATGAGTTCACCCCTCTCAGAAAAGCTCAGGCAGAAATACAATGTCAGAAGTATGCCCATCAGAAAGGATGATAAAGTTGCCGTTGTTTGTGGACACGACAAGGGACAGAAGACAGGAAAGGTGACTCAAGTCTACTTCTTCTTCTTCTTCACTTCCTCTTTTACCGCTGTGGGTGTCGAGGGAGATATAAGGTTCTGTTTCTGGCTTTTCTGGCCGCCTCGACCTTAGGCACATCGTGCTGTTGTAGAGCTTCTCTGATGTTATCCTTCCATTTTGCTCTTGGTCTACCTCTTGCTCTAGTCCTTCTTCTCTTTCCATGTATGCTTTGTATGGTATGGTGTCACAAGGCATTCTCTCTAAGTGGGCAAACCATTTCACTTGCTGTCTTTGTATGTAATTTAGAATTAGTTCTGTGCCGACTTTTTCTCTTAGAATCTCATTCCTGATCTTATCTCTTATGGTCTCAAGTCTTATGTAGACTCAAGTCTACAGAAAGAAATTCGTAGTCTACATAGAACGAATTCAGCGTGAGAAAGCAAACGGTGCAACTGTCAGTGTTGGTATCCATCCTTCAAAGGTCGTCATTGTTAAGCTGAAACTGGACAAGGATCGCAAGAAGATTCTGGAAAGAAAAGCCATGAACAGAGCCAAGGCTCTGACAGATAAGGGCAAGTACACAGAGGAAACAATGGAAAGCTGATTGCATTCTCTTTAATAAAGTGTTTAAAACTGGAAAAGAAAAAAACAAAAACGTTCTCTGATGTATCACCTACAATTTTCGACCAGTGGTTGCGTGGACTAGAGGAGGGTTGCCACTGTCGTCTGATGTCAGGTCTCGGATATTTACACCAGGTAATGTTACCCAGGCACATAGAACGGATATTTTCCCCAGCAAAGTATCACCACCAGGTAAATAGAATACCATGGACAAAAAAAAAAAAAAAAAGAAATACTGACACCTAAAACAGGGCAGGGCCATTCAACCAAGTTTTCTGAGGGGCCATACCTAGGGAAATAGAGATCATCGCGGCCCAGAGGACCAAGAACATTAATACAATACAGTTCTGAGATAAAACACGGGCCATTTGCTAGGTCTCTGCGAGCCACATTTGGCCCTCGGGCCGCCAGTTGAAAAGTCATGCCCTAAAAGATCTGAACGTCAAGGAAGAATGCCTAGTAAATAGAATCTTGTCTCAAAAACTGAAATATTTTAGCCATATCAAGCGCCACGACGGATAGGAAATAATTTAAGAAGAAGGCGCTGAGTTAGGAAAGAGTGACAGGAGTCGAACAGCACGAAGATAAAATCTACATAAAGACGAGATTAAAAAGTAGATAATTCGGTCAGCGAGTCGCTGTGGCCTAGCTACTAGACGCTCGCCGCGGATCGAAAGGTCGTGGGTTAGCTTCCTAGTGGAGCCGGATTGTTTTCAAAAATGACCTTGGCTCCCAGGTCGACCCAGCCTCGAATGGGTACTGGGTGCAGTCCCGGAAAGTAAAGGCGGCCGGTGTGATGCTGACCACATCACCCTTCTTGTGCCGATAGGTCTATAAAACCTATAGGTCTAGCCCTATATGCCCTATACGCCTAAAGACGTGGAAATGGGTCCTTTACTTTACTTTACTAATTCGGTCAGCAAGACAGGCTTATAGACACTAATCATTCTAAAGACAGAATGGAAAACACGAGAGAGACAAACAAATAAGAATTCCCACTTCCAAGACACCGCAACAAACAAAGACAGATACATGAACTTGACACAAAATATGGCCTTTAAATTACTCGTAACTTTGACAAGCCCAGCAACTTTAGAGACAAACTGCGTACGTAGCCGACCTGTTTGTGCCCAGGTTATCGTAGTACACTCATCAACCTAACACCTGGCCCACTTTTAAGCCCACTTTAGGGCCCTGTTTACATTTTCCAACCTGGTTAGCTCACACACTTGCCAGATAACTGGTTCCCTTCAGTCTGGTTAAGATCCTGAACCGAGTTTGCACCAACTGTAGGTTACGTACTTAGACTCATCAAAGTACCCGGTCGCATGTCGTTTCTTTTGGGGATAATACTACTAAAATCCGGGTACCCACTTTCTAAAGGAGTTCCTAGAGGGCTGCGAGGTCTCGAGGAATGGTGTCCGCCTCGAGTGCTAGAGGTCCCGGGTTCAAGCTGGGAGCTGGGATTTTTTTTTTCAGGTGGACTTCTAGTAATTTACCCCTGGTCTCTGGGTAGTAAGACTAGACGCCCGTGTGTATTATTGCACAGATAAAAAAAATCCCTTGGCAGTTGGAAATCGAAAAGAGTAGCCTAACCGCGCTGTACAGGCAATATTTGGAGTTTCAAATCTGCCCACAGTATTTCAGAATCCTCGCCGGTGCAACAGAGTTGGTGCACTATGATAAGAATCTTCAGACTCAGGCTTGAGGTAGAAGTAAAACGGAGCACTTATGGGTTACACCTGTGTGCCATAGTGTTGATCCGTTTAACAGACATAAACAGAAAGGAGTTCCTTTGGTGTAGTGTCTAGACGTTCGGTTCAGACCCCAAGGTTATTCGTTATTCATCCAGCTACTTTGTTTTTTTTTTCTTTCCGAAAATGATCCTGGCTCCCATGTCAACCTAGCCTGAAATGGGTACTTCCTAAAATCATGGGAAGTAAAGGTAGCGAGTGTCGATAGGTTTATAAAACATGGGTCTAGCAATGTAAGCCAAATACACATTTTTTTAAACCCGTTCTTTATGTCCTCCCTCCCCCGGGATCGTTGCCTGAAAGACTACTACCCAGTGGCATCAAGACTTACTAGTCAGATGCCAATCCAACAACCGCCATTCCCAGACACCTGGTTAAACTGAATAAAACAGTTATACTCGCGTACCCTCGGTTATGAATTAATCGAGTAACAAAAAGTGTATTGATCGGCACTCGTAGAAAGAAGTAGGAAGATAGAAGAACACACTAGACAACATAAAAATCCAAAGCTATAGTTACCATGACGGGAATTGAACCTGTCACCTCCAGACGGCGTCTGCGCCTCGCCATGAATTCAAGTGCACTAAGAACATGGTCAACTAGGCACCCCCCAAAAAAGGTGTCTTATTGGCCATGTCTATCGTACAGCTTGAAATCCACAACTATGGAATACGGACAGAATTCATTTTAACCCATTCAAATAGCACCATCGGTTATGAACAAGGATTATGTGCAATGGATTAGGTTAATGCTTGTGTGTACAAATCAAGAACTACTACAGTGCCACATGGGAAGTAAACGCGGTCAATGTGCTGTTGACCCCAACACCAATGGAGTGCCCAGTGGTCGATAAAATTGAGTCTGGCATCATATGTCCAATGTCCTACCATTCTTTTTCTTCTAGCCCCCAATGGAGCACAGGCTGCCAACCAACTCATGCCCAGTCGTTCTATCCTTCGCTACGCTATGCAGCTTTTCCCATGTCTTCCATATCTTTTTAACTTCACCCTAAGCTCCCTTCACCGTGTGTTTTTTGTCTTCCTTTATTTATATGCCCCTGTGGGTTCCAAAGCGAAGACATTTTAGTTATACTGTTTTCAGGTTTTCCCAACGTGTGTCCTATCCAAAACCAGCCTCTTTTCTTCACCTCTTGGTCCCCTGGAACTTGTCCTACTTTTACCTCCATACCATTGCTGCTGCTATGCTGCTACACCAGTGATCGATGAATCATTTAGCAATCATCACGCCGGCAGCCTTTACTTCCGCAGACGTTTCCTGGTACCCATCTCTGGCTAGGCACGGGTAAATGTTGAGAAGCACCTATTTTCCCGATGTGGGTTTGAACACTAGACATTCGGACCGGCAGGTGAACATCTAGTCACCACGCGAATCCATCTTTCGTAACCACAAAGTGTTGATAGGTAAATTAAACGCAAAAGGTGAATCAAGCTCCATATGCCAAGGGGAGATACAAATATAGTCCCAATTAAAGTTGACAGGGTCCACTTCGATACACCTGATGTTATCCTATATGGCTCTATTTCTTTTCGCATAGCGGCCACCCGTCTGCCAAGAAATTCGCACACATCATGAACTCCGTAGCTTTTGCCACGATCCCTAAATGTCTCGATAAAAACAGCAAACGTGAACTCAGCGAGACATTTAAAGTTAGTTGCGTCTCCTTTACAGGACGTTGCGGATGTATTTTTTGACTGCTGTAGTTTTTCTAGGCAAATGTTGCATCAAGTGGTTTGCCATTGCTTACTTCCGGTACCACAGTCGAAACCAACGCAAGACGTTCTGCTGTCAAATCGACTGCAACTGTGATCGAATCCGGCCCCCGGCAATACGAAACTCGTTCCCAACGCCTACGCTACGGAGAACGACTCACACACTGGGTAAACTAAAGAACTGAGGAGGGTTTGTGTGAGGCTCGCTACCACAATCGATAATAAGTAAAGGACCGTGTGAGGCTCGCTACCACAATCGATAATAAGTAAAGGACCCTTTTAAATACCGTTAGTAAGTAAGTGAAGATCCCTTTTCCCACCGTAGAAGCATCGGGCATATGGACAAAGCACCCACATTTTTACAGACCAATCGGCACTAGGTGGGTAATGTGGTCTTTACTTCCCCAGGACATACATCCAGGAACCTATTTTAGACTGGGTTGACCTGCGATGCCCTTTACCATGATAAAAATCCACGCAGTCAGCAGTGGGTTTCTATCGCGATATGATGGAATTACGAGTGAGAATCGCAACGCCTAAGCCACGGACGCCGCTACGCCTTCAGTCGCATTGGGCATAGAGAGATAGACCTATATTCTATAGCCGGGGCTCGGTGGCGATGTGGTCCACGTCACACCGGCCGCCTTGACTTCCCACGACTCTGCCTAGTACAGATTTAAAGCTGGACAGTCCTGAGAGCCAAGGTCATTTTCGAAAGGAAAAAAACCTCCTTCTTTGGGATTTGAATCCACGACTGTCAGATCAGCAGGTAAGAAAACACTGAATAGTTAAGCTTTTCAACACAACAGGAACATCTCTACAGCCTACTTGGCGCTATTCTGATTTACAAGAGGTGGGGGGGGAGGGGGGGGGCTTAATTTAAATATAAAAATACAAGCAACAGTAAAAGAAGAAGAAGAAGAAGAAGAAGAAGAAGAAGAAGAAGCAGGCTCGGCGCTCTCTCTTTTTCTTTCTGTGTGGGTGTAGTGTCTCTCTGTCTATCTTTCCATGTGACTGTCTTTCCATATGTCTTATCTCTTCTGGTTGTCTCATTTTCTCGCATACACAGACAAATGCTCTACGGTAACTCTGCACTTTTAAGACACTGAAAAACGAAATCAGCAGATTACCAATCACCCTTCGATCCACCCACGCACCGATCACCCATCGATCGACCCACCCACCAATCACTGAGTAAGAAAACACCTCCAAGGTCAAGACCAGCCCTGAGAAGGTTACAAGCAGCCCACCTAAAAGTTGTTATTCTTTTCCTTATATGGGCATGCTTACACACTACAGGTCACGTGGTACGAGGTAGTTACGCTGGTAGGACAAGATTTGTCCTGTGATTGGCTGGTTTCGGGTCAGGCAAGTCTTAGGGCTAATCTGGAGCGTTGTGGAAAATAAGGGACCATTAGGTGGTTTCTGTCTAGTACACAGGGAGAACATTTGACAGACAGGCGGAGAGAATTAGATACAGTCATATAATGATGTCGGCT